CCAGGGCAATCTCCTCCTCAGCCATAGCAAGTGAACCATCGGAGTCGCACTCAAAGTACAAGATCTGGCCTGAACTCAGCGCGATGGCAACCTGTCGGTTGTTTGTGGCGCAGGCTACAATGGTACGATGGGCTGGAGGTTGCCAATCAGTCAAACTTGCATGTGTCGCGCTCGCATCTTCGTTGGGAAATTGAATACCCTGAATGTGGCGGATACCCTTGGGATGGATCTGGATGATGCAGTCCTCACCAAATTGTTGCACACCAAGCGTGTTTGTATCTGGGAGGAAGCCAGTGTTAGAGGCTTCCTCGACATCATCGCCGATTTTCAGAACTAATGTTCTGCTGTGAAGGCACATCACAATGAGGGTGTCGGTCTCGTCTTCGCTGGTGAGCTTTGTAGTCCAGACATCTGACGCGTTTTGCGGCAAAGGCGACTCGATGAGGTCCAGAACCTCCAGAGCATTCCTGGTGGTGCGGAACGAACTTCGGCCTCCTGTACCATTGATCGTGTAAACCTGTGGCGCGTCTTCGAGGGCAGGGTTGGCAACCTCCATACCCATGATCGGATTCAGACTGGCCATCGACTCTACCGCCGTGAGGTTGACCAGGGCTCGAGGCTTGAAGAAAGGAGGCGCGAAAGCAGTCTCCGGATCGACAGGGAACTGGTCGCTCTCGAACACGGGGTCCTCTGTCTCGTCTCCCAACGACTCGAGCTCGTACAGGATGCGGTCCCCAGATTCGCAGGCAGCATACACGAAACCTGCCCTCAGAATACAGATGCTGGTGACGACAGGGATAGTATCAAAGTACTTGATCTTGATCTTGTCGACTGTGCCATTTGTTGCTTCCACGGTAAGCTTGAAGACGTCGCCATCCTCTGTTTGTAGGAGGTAGAAGAAATCGCCGCCCTTCAGAGAGTACAGGGTACCAGCAACGATCATGCGCTTACGGTTGGGGTCTTCGGTAGCTCCCTCACGACGTGGAATGGCCAGTCGGTGGACGCTCGATTTGTTGTTGAAGATACGGCGGTAAGTGATGCTGTCTTCTCCACAGCACAGAACACCGCTTGGAGCATTTGGACCACCAGGGACCCGGAAGAGGGTATTGGCGGTCCGATCAACTGGCTCTGACCATTTCCGGACGATGTGGTTCAGACCAAGGTCCAGCTCGTAGTATACCAGCTCCTTCTTGATCTCGTCGTACGCTTCGCCGGTAGGATCGGTCTCGGAGTTGGAGTAGTCCACCTCGAGAGTAGCGAACATGGGGTTGTCGTATCCGACATCAAGCCCGATGAGGCAGTACACTAGCGTCTGTGGCTTGTGTGCCTCTAGCGGTGAGGAGATGGCGATGTCCGTCTGGCCACTGCGGGTGAGAATGTAGACAAGCTTGTTCTTCTCCGTCGAGGCGATCATGATAGCGCGCCCTTTCGGGTCGGCTGCCAGATACTCGCCCGGCACGACGCGTCGTATTCCAGACTTGCCGAACGTCTCGAAGTGGACCGTCTTGAAGGTGTGCTCATCTGGCATGTACTCATACGTGACTAACCGTCCTGAATCGGTGGTTATGACGATATGGTCTGACAGAGTCAGCAGAGGTTCTTGTTAATTGCAATCCATTCCACCGCGGGCTCAGTGAGCTGGGAGCTCGGAGGTGTCGTGTGCTTTGAAAATCACTATACTGCTTGTAGCGGGGAAGTAGGACTGACATACCTTTGGTTCCGCCCGCGATCCTGAACTTGGCGATGCGGCGAATGATGCCAAAGACATCCTGCGAGTAGAGCTCTTGGAAGCCCTTCTGCCGCCGCGAGACCTCCAGGATAGCTAGCCGTGAGCCGCTCGCTGTGAGGATTTGCTGCTTTCCGTTTCCGAGAAAGTCGCCGGAGATGGCGTCCTGAGTGGCTGTCGGCTGCTTCACCGTCAAGGCGTACAGGGACATGGAGGAGAAGCTCGTCATGACGGGCGGCGGTGGGCGCTGGCCCAGTTACTCTCGTCGCGTCGAGGTCTTGAGCGCGTGTGGGAAAAGTTCAAAATTAAGTCGCGACAATCGAAAGTAATGCTCGGGCTTGCAGAGTGTAGGGCGCGCCGGTGTCAGGCAGCGCGGCGGAAGAGTTGCGGGCGCAAGTTGTCGAGGCTCGTGAGAAAGATTTACGCGCGAAGAGGCCAGAGCTTCTCGGCCTAGTGTCGGTCCGCCCTGGCCAATTGGTGGGATGCGCCCCACTAAAATTTCATGTCGCAAAGTCCTCGAAGGCGCATACAGACGACGCTCTCGATAACTGATACAGTCACGACACGTATATACAACATGAAGCGCAAAGTCGGCGCCCTAGAGAAGCTCGAGTCGGACCATGCGGCACTCCGATTCAAGCTGAAGCGAGACCCCCAATCGTACCGAGACGACTTCGAGCAGCAGTACCAGCAATACCGAACCCTCCTCGACCTGTTCCTTGCCGACCCGAGCACCTCGGACAGCGGTCTGGTTGCGCTGAAGGATCTCATTGAGTTCGTCTCGCACACTTCGGACCTCTATCCCGATGTCGCGTCAGAGTTCCCCAGGGATCTCGAGCTTCTGCTCACCCACCATGAGGTGCTTGAGTACGACCTGAGGGACAAGATCGTCGGCGCATACTGCTTGCTCAAGCGGAAAGAAGTCATAGACTCAGTCAAACTTCTCAACACCCTGTTCCCACTCCTTGTAGCGACGAACAGCAAGAGTCTGCGACAACTGCTCTACACCAAGATTATCTCAGATCTACGTTCGTCCAACGCGAAGACTGTGAACCACAAGCTCAACAAGTCTATGCAAACGGCACTTTACAAGTACGCAGTATCTTCACAATGTCTGGTGTTCCCGACTAACCGTTCCAAGTCTCCTAGAATCCGACACCTCCTCGCCGAAGGGTCTCTGGGCCGTCAAGATTACCAGAGAGCTGTGGAAACGACAGATATGGACAGATACGCGCGCCGTCGAGGTCATGCGACTAGCAGCACTCAGCGACAACGAGAAGACCATCTCGGGCGGCCTCAGGTTCTTCCTCGGTGGTGACCAGGAGCGAGAAGCCGCCGCAGAAGAGAGCAGCGATGACGACAACGATGTGGACATTGGAAAGCTGAAGCATGCTGCCGGCATCAACAAGAAGAGCAAGAAGAAGGCGCGCGACATCAAATCCGCAGCTGTCAGTCTCAAGAAGAAGGCCAAGAAGAAGAACGCACCCCACCCCCTCAACTTCAGTGCGCTACACCTTCTCCACGACCCTCAAGGCTTCGCCGAAACCGTCTTCTCGAAGCACATCCAGAACACCAAGAACAAGCTTGCCCTCGAGACAAGGCTACTGGCACTGCAGCTAGTCACTCGCCTCGTTGGATTACATCAGCTCACAGTCCTTCCGCTATACTCATACTTCCTGAAGCATCTCACTCCTCGGCAAGCCTCAGTCACCACTTACTTGGCGTGCTTAGCGCAAGCGACACATTCGTATGTACCGCCAGACGTGCTTGAGCCGCTTGTGCAGAAGATCGCGAACGAGTTCGTGTCAGAAGCCTCAGCCTCTGAGGTCGCGGCAGCAGGTCTGAATTCCATTCGTGAGATTTGCGCACGTCAGCCATTGGCCATGACAGATACTCTGCTCCAAGATTTGGTCATGGTGAGTTTGCTCCTTAGAACCCGATGCCATACTCTATACTAACGCTTATTAGTACCGTAAATCGAAAGACAAGGGTACAATGATGGCCGCCAAAGGTCTCCTCTCCCTCTACCGCGAAGTCGGCGCCGACCTCCTCAAGAAACGCGATCGTGGCAAGGACGCGACAATGGGTATCCGCGCTGGTACTATCAAAGAGCGTCGCTATGGTGAAGAAGCTATTGGAGAGGTTGAGGGCATCGAGTTGCTCGAGAAATGGAAGGAAGAGGAGCGCCGGAAGAAGCTCATAGAAGCTGGTCTGGACCCTGACGCAGACAACGGCGACGTGGACCTCGACGGCGAAGACGACTGGAAGAAGTGGGACGTGGAGAGTGAAGGCGACAGCGACGACTCAGGCGGCTGGATCAACGTCGAAAGCGACGGCGAAGACATCCAAATCAGCGACTCCGAAGACGAAAAGGACAAGAAGGAACGCCCCGCAAAGAAAGCCAAGCTCGACAGCGCCACCCCCGGCCCATCAACAGACGACAAGGAGAACTCCAAGAGCGCCGAACCAGAAACCAAGTCCCTCTCCAAACTCCTCACAACCACCATCCTCACCCCCGCCGACCTCAAACAACTCCAAGCCCTCCGCGCCTCCAGCACCATAACCTCCACCCTCGCCGGCTCCTCCAAGCGCGCCCAGCTCCTCGCCGCCCGCCACGCCGACGAAGCCATCACCGCCGAGACCATCGAGCTCGCCGCCAAAATCGGCAAGAAGAACACCAAGGAAGAGAAGATTGCTCTCGCCAGGGCTGACCGCGAAACGAACCACACTTCCAAGGCGGCGAAGCACCAGGCCAAGAAGGTGGAAGAGGGCAAGAGTACGACGAACAAGGAGAAGGCAAGGAAGAAGAATTTCCTTATGACGCTGGGTAAGGCGAGGTTTAAGAATAAACGTAGTTTGGGGGATGTTAAGAGGACGATGCAGGGGCATGTTGAGAGGAAGAAGAGGGGTGGTAAGAGGGGGAATAAGGGAAATTAAGTGCGGTCAGGCATACGTTGATGGCATTTATTTTGAGTATTGTTACTTGTATGGGATGGACCGAAAATGGCATGTTCTTTCACGGCAGACGAATGGAAAAAGGGAAAAGTAACTTGATACCCAGATAGAATATGGATCATGAAACATGAGTTATCCCGTTCTTGAGTGGTCCTAGGACCAGGCCTGATATTTGAAATCGCACCTTGAACGCCCAGCCAGCCTTCCATTCGCCACTTGCCCATGGTAACCATAGAAGGGAATGCTGTCCTCCATACATCGAACATACATGTGCGTTCTCTCGCTGTATAGCACCAGCATCCACATTAACCCATCACCCTTACTCCTCCACAGTCTGTGCCGGGACATTTCCTGTCTCTACTTCTCCACCATCGACAGCAACGCGTCGTTCGAAACGAAACACCGGCCTTCGGGTACCAAAGTCGCTCGAGCTCTCACTGTGGAAGCTGCTTGAAGCGTTCTTGGTACCCAGGACCTGGAGTTTGCCGTGCTCGGAGCTGGGGATAGGTCGTATAGGGGCGCTGCGCTTGCTGCGGGAAGAAGAAGGCTCGCCATTTCGGTGTTGAGACGAAGCGTCATCCTTGGTAGTTGGTGTGACTGGAGAACTGGCAGAGCGGGGAGGTAGTTTGGTGGGAGTTCTCTGGACTTTGGAAGGAGTGAACGGGTGACTCATGTAGGTCATAGCCCTTGGGTTGTCATCGGTCGCCTTCGACATCTGTTCAAGTGTCTGGGGTGCACCGCGGCGAATAGGTGTGATGAGAATACCCTTGTGCCTCGTTGACGTTGCTCCCGGGTCCGAGATCGACTGTGGTGGGGTTTTGACGACAGCGTTGTCTGCGCCCGCTTTGCCCTGGATGGGATGACGAGACGTCGTTGCACTCGGAAGTATACTCGTGGGATCGGCTATCCTTTCATTAGAGGTGCTCGCCACCGGCAACGATTGAGGTGCGACCGCGAACGCGTCCGCAACACCATGCCCTGTACCATCTTGCCACATGTCGGCATCAGCAGAAAGAGCCTGACGCACTGTATGGTCATTCTCATTCTGAGCCTTCATCGCAGGAGTGATGGTAGGCTGTGGGTGGGTCGCCAGACTGACAGCACCGTCACCATTATTCTTCGTTCTCTTGCGCGAGCTCTGTGATTCAGCCTCCATCCAAGCACTCATATACTGATTCTGGATCTGAACCATCATCGATATATCGTTTTGTAGACCTTTCTTGTCTGTGGAGTGAGGATAGGCTTGTAGCAAGGATGTGATAAGTGAGGTGTGCTCAATGAGGTGACTGACGAGGAGGTTGGGATCTGGGTCTCGATGTACCGTTGGCGTGTGATTCCTATGTTGGTCAATGTTGCGTACCCTGGATAAAGGTGTAGCATTTGGTCGAGTAGTTGGACGACTCGATTGCGGTCGAGCATGCCGCTGATGTTCTCCGGCTTCATCGTCGTCAGCCTCAGCAACCTCAGCATCAGCGAGCTTCCTCTTCTGTGGCGAAGGTCGTGAGTACTCTTGGATATGATGGACAGCTCTCCTACGGAGTGAGTTCTCGTTCTGAGAGGGGACCATTGGCAGAACGTATGTGTTAGAAGGAACTTGGACATGATAGTGCTGCGCATATGATGGTTGGTGTTGTGGCGCGTGTTGCGCAAGAACCGGCGCGGAGAGTGGATACTGTACTTCAAAAGGTACATTGAGCGTGTGTCGACCCCATGCTGCGTTTGGGCTAACCTCAGGCGCGGCAGTGATCTTTGCGCTCATCATGCGATAGATATCATGACTCTGGTGCCCGGTAAATGTGCTGCCGTTCGCAGGCATGGCTGCCAATGCCGGTCTGGAGACACCGTAGCTGTACAGTTCTCTATATCCGTTGCCGATGAACTGATGCGGCTCTGACAGCTTTTTGTGTTTCTGTCTGCGCTTCGGGGCTCGCGTTGCTCGCCGTGGAGGTGATGGATCCTCGTTGACGATGATGGGGTTGTGGCTGCTGCCGCTCATGTTTGCGAAAGGCTTAGGTGCGAGCCTTCGCAGGGCGGAGGAGACTGTTCGATCGGTGGGATCAGTTGAGCCTTGTCGTTTCTTCGGCGTCGTGATGGTGAGTACCACTGGAGATTCGCCGGTACTCGGGGATGTGAGACTGAGATCATGCTCACTAATGTTGCCGGAGAGCGCCATTCTGGGAGGAGTGTCTGGCACTCTTCGATCGTCCGGAGCTTTCACGACCTTTTTGACGCTGGGAACAATGATATGTATGGTGTCGCTCGCCTGTCGGAGCGGTCTGGGCCGTCCAATGCCAGCCGTGTCTGGCTCTGCGTTTGCAGTGCCTCGCCGAGTGGACACCATGATGTTCAATGTTTGTCCTGGTTCGTCAGACCTTCACCGCTCAGTTGATTTCAAATTCTCCTCACCAGTTCCTAACTATCACGTCGCCGAAATGGTACAGCGCTGTGCCGGATTAGGGTGGTGAAGATGAGAACGTGATTACTGGCGACGCTCTTCTTGCGTCCGCGAGGTGCAGACGACGATAGCGGCGCAGCCGAGAATGGAGAGCGAAGTGATGAGTCCAAACAAACTTATGATGTTGCCTACATGTATGTAGAAGGTGCACTATGTGTGGGAAGTGACATCCGCTGTTTGAAAGGAAGGCGCGACGCACCGCGATCAACAGCAAGAACGGAATTTCAGCATGACACATCGCAAACGAAAACAAATGAAATGAACGACGAGACGGAAAGGAAAGACACTGATACCTCATGCGCTCGCCGTTGGTGCTACGCGGGGCAGCTCTCATCCTACGGTCAGAAACGCGCAAAGTTTAACCAACTCTTCCACATCATCCAAATCATTGACGACGCGATCGATAGCACCATCATCCCAAGCGATGCCATGCCAAAGCAGCACACCCACATCTCTCATCACTCTCATGTCGCCCATTCGAGCTTCCAGCTCCGGTACGGCGTCGATCAAGCGCGACCAAAACAGCTCACGAAGTTGCGTCGCACCGTTAAGGTAGGTCCACGTGAGCGCAGATCCAGGGAGAGATATTGTCATGTTTCCAAGGAGATGCTCGAGTCCGTACAGGCAGGTCCCGAAGGGTAAGTACTCCGCCTCCGCCCAATCTACCAGGCCTGTAATCTGCCAGGTGTTCTGGTCAACCAGGATGTTGGATGGGATTAGGTCTCCATGATTGAGTACTACTGGGTAGTCCTCCATTCGCTGTATCGCGCGCATGGTCTCTCGCGCTCTTTTGCGTAGATATGCATCCGGTAGTTCACTAGCCAGCCGCTCAAGTCTAGACATGATCGTTGAGCCGACCTTGCCGCAGCACTGCGCGAGCATCGATGGACGCTCATCCATGGGTGAATCTGCCCGTACCGTTCGGGCGATATAGTGTACTTTCTGTGGTGAGTGCCAGCTGTGCGCGATAAGATCCGCGAAACTTGCGATGAGGCGCTCTAGTCGCTTTCCTGCGCTGTCATCGAGTGAGTGTCCATGCTGCTGTAATCGGCTCAGCGGCGTGCCATCAACCTTCCTCATCTCATATGCGCGTATGCCTCTGGGTAGTGATAAATCGAGATCCTCGATGGTGGGGGCTAGTGCTGGGTGCGCTGTGCTAGCAGCGCGTACAATGTTGAGGTCGAGGGCGTGCTGAGGCGGCCGAAGCTGGACGATGAGAGCAGGCTCATCCTCACATTTCACCTCAGCGGTAGCCTGATGCCGGATGATTTCCCTCGCAAAAGCGACTTTTGGTGGCGTGACCAGAAGGGTGTAGCTGCAATAACCCTGTTCCCTAAACTCTTCCACTTCACAGTCTTCATAGCGATCCCGCACAGCTTTTACGCAGATATCCCTATCCTCCAAACGCAAACTGAATCGATTCCAAAAGTTCGGGGACGTCATCGACGGTGCGACAGAACGTGTTTGGGATTGAAGCCCAAGGACTCAAGCCCTGCCGCGATTTTGAGGCGACGCGAATCATCCCGTCTCGCATCATCTGTGACATTCTGCCGTAAGCCCTGTCGTGACTTGTTAGAGAGCTAGAAGTCGAATGGTGTGTCGCACGCAGTCGTGGTTCGCTGGGAGTTTGCACGTGGAAGTTGGCGTGGGAGGAAGCAGCGAAGGAAGCGGGGATGTGGGGTGAACGGTGGCTCCCACTTAGGCGGGCGAGGCGTCGTCGCAATCTCCTCCATTCTCCACCCACCGCTCCAGACTAGCTCAAGCATCAAACGGTACTGGCTTATGGCGGAAGAGCCGACATCAGCTTCACTGTCCGACGGGCTCCAGCCTGGCCACGACATCTTTTGCACACCCCAAAATGACGCGGTTCCTGCGAGTAGCCTGTACTCAGAACTGGATGTTGCGCAGCAAGAGATCCGCCTTGTCAAACTCTGGCCTGGCACCGAAGACGATGTCATCGAATGCACACTACTCCCGTGTAGGCCTTTGCTCGATCTGAAAGGACTGTATACGGCTCCATCCTACTGCGCTGGCTCTGCAAAGAATACTGAATCTATCGTCCTCAACGATATGTCTTTCAATGTGTTCGCAAATCTGGCACATGCTCTGAAGGAAGTCCGTAACTTCTGGAAAGCTACATACGGCGCAAGGGAGTGTCTATTGTGGATCGATCAAATCTCGATAAATCAGTACGACATCAACGAGAGATCACACCAGGTTCGGTTCATGCGCGAAATCTACGAGTACGCAGAACAAGTCCTTGTCTGTCTGTCGACTGAGAAGGCCGACCCGAAAGGAATGAATTGGTCTATAAAGGTCGCGAGAGACGTTCGCCCCCGTGGGTTCGATGAGATTCCCAAAGGGGAACGCAGGACTGTGACCAGTGACTCTCATGATGACCTGGATGACAAGCAACGCGCCGATATAGTTGATGACGATCACCAACGCTTGATCGCAGACCATGTTATCGAAAATACATGGAGCGTGGACTTGATAGAAGGGTGGTTTGCTTCCTATGAGATCATTGGAGCTCCTTGGTTTACGAGAGCCTGGGTCCTCCAAGAATTCGTTGTCGCAGCAAACGTGTACTTCATGTATAGTGGAGTCTTTGCATCCTGGCGAACTGTTCTTCCAGTGTGGAGAGCAATTTACTCCACCTTCAATTTCAGAATTCACCAGGCAATCGGTCTCATGTCGGGCCCCCCGAGGAGCTGGTTTTCTGGTTTTCCGGAACGACGCAACCCGAATCGACTCATTGTGGACACCAGGCAAGGTGATTTAAGAGTAGGCATGACTGAAGCGATATTCACAATAGATTGTAAAGCCCACTCGCGTCAGAACCAGGACTTGAAGGAACTCCTGTCGCATTCCCGCAATCGCCATACTTCAGATCCCAGAGACAAAGTATTTGCCTACATCGGTCTGATCGATCCAGCCTACCGCATTGAACCGAACTATTCTCATTCCATCGATCAAGTTATGATCCATACAACTACCAGGATCATAGAGACAGAGAATAATTTAGACATTCTGTGGCACGCCGCAGCTTCTCAGACACATCATACCAACAGTCTGCCATCGTGGGTGGTTGATTGGACGTGCAAGGAATCCCCTTGCACTCCGAATAAGTCATACACCCACTCCCATGTACTGAAGAATACCGAAGCAAATGCTTCGGTTCGCACTGTTGAAACGGCTCGTGGAACTTCGCAGGCCTTGCAAGTTGATGGTGTCTTAATTGACGGATTAATTAAAGATTCAAGAAGAACGATTCACGACGAGCACTTGTATACATCTTACAACGGCTTTGGCGGTGCTTGCTCCCATGACTCTAAAAAAGACGATGAGATATGGGTTTTGAGGGGCTGCAGATCACCGCTAATATTACGTCCCCAAGACAAGTATGGCTACATACTGGTATCAGCTGCGACATACGGGCGCGAGGATCTCGGAGATGACATCTGGATTACGGAGCGGGCACAGGAAGAGAGAGAGAAACAAGGAGGCTGGCGAAGCATATCTATAATCTAGTCAAAGTCATGACTGCAGACCTAATCCACTATTTCGACTTTCCATGAAGCTTCGCGGCGAAGCTGCAGCATCTATCAACACACGGCACTGTATTTCTGGTGTGATTAACTATCGTCATCGCCATGCGCCCTTATTTAGCAGCGTTTTTGCACTATGAAACTCTATCGATTCACACTCCCTTCACTATGTAGACCTCACACCAGTTACACCAGAATCTGCCTGTGATGGGCTGTAATGAACAGCAGAGAGAAACCGTACAACACAGCCGAACGACATCCCAAGACGCACAACTGTACAAGATGTCCATTCCCAATAATTATGCAACAGACCAGACTCACCCGTGCTGTCACGGAAGAAACAAGAACGAGGAAAATGAAGTCGGAAACGCAGCGCCTGCGATGATGCACGGGCCCGTCGATACTACGCCTCTTGAAGCCCCCACGTCCATACAATCTGACTGTGTATCTGCAGGCCTCTATTCAGAAGACGAGCTGCCTGTCCCTTCCCTAGAGGAGCGACAAGCCGGTGAAGATGTTATCATGGCAGACATGCTAACAGCTATGCAACTGGAGGGCCTGGAGGTAAGCACTCCTTCCCCGGAGAGCCAGTGGACGAACATGGGCGTAGAAGCTGATTCGGAAGCCAATTCGGTCTCAGCGGAGCTAAACGAACAACAACCCGAAAGTCTTCATGCTTCGGACGGATCAGCTCACAGCGACTCCTTGACGGCTACAGGTTTCGCGGATGACGAGCAGACCGCACAGCCCGAGGAGTACGCAGACGATGCCGACTCTCTAGAGCTCGAGGATTTTGACATTGACTTCAGCGAGCTTCTCCCATCGGACTTCCCAGATTTCCCCTTCGATGATCTGAATGACCCCTCCGACGAAAGATGGGCAGAGATGCTGAAAGAAGTCGACGCCTGGAACAAAACACACAACGGCGCAGCCGAAGAAGACACTCACACCACCCCCACTCCCGGCGAACCCTTCACATACGCCGTCGACCCCTTCAACCCCGAAATCTGCAAAGCCGATCTAATCCGCTGCCCCATTCCCATCCCCACACCAGAAACCGACATCCTCGCCCACTTCTCCACAGAATACGCACGCTCAATCCGTCTCCTCAAAGTGAAATACCGCTGGTACCACTCCAGCCCCTCAGACTGGCAAAAAGAAGTCAGCACCCTCATCTCCGCCATCGACAACACCTCCAACAACCTAGAGCCCTGGCTACCGTTGCACAGATGGCTCGTACTATACCGCCGCCTCATGCAAGGCGCGACGGCCCGTGAGCGCTACAAGACCAAGAATTTCTTACTGAAGAAGTTGGAGGCGGTGGCTAAGATGCGGATGGAGGAGAGTAAGGCGGCGGTTGTGGAGTTACTGCAGGCGAAGGGGATGAAGTTGGCGCATGGGGCTTTGTGTGGGATGAAGCGGGCGGTTGATGAGGATTGTGAGAGGAGGGGGAGTTTGCTGCTGGGGACTATTCCGGAGTTTACGAATGAGCTTGTTGGGGGGTTTTCCGGGAGGTGGTCGTGGGTGGACTGATGGAGATGTGTTAATAGAGGATGGAAATGAACTCACAACTCGATAGACGGATGCGAAAATGAGACTGTTACTATGAAGACCTTTGCAAACTGACCAAATGCCGTAGTTTCAACCTTCCCGAGGTTCTCACCACTTCGGCATCTCCATCCTCGCAGTACCTCCCCTCACCTCCGGATCTCATCTCCAAAGGCTCGCGGTTATTAGACTCCACCTCGTAATCGTGGTTGACGATCAAAAGCAACAAAGATAGCTCGTACAAGCTTCACCACGACCTATGACGTCACACCCCAAACTCCGAAGTAAGATCGTCCTCGGGTCACGAACCCGGGCATGAATCTTGGATCCATCGTGCGCAGCTCACTACGCCGTTCCAATAATTTCCCGGCGAACTCTACGGCCGTTCCGCGACCTTGATGAACTATCGTATACACACCAGTGTGCTCTTGGCCTACGCAATTCACTGCTGATCCCTTTCGTCTTATCTGCATCATTCCGTCGCGCATGCTCCAACTTCAATCAAGCTCTCGCTTGGGTGATGTGCACAATGCATGCGATGCCAAGCTACAGCAGCGCAAACTTCCGACGTCGATGGAGGGGAGACTCAAAGAAGGCGCCGGGATGCTGATTGGCTGTAAAGTCAACAATTCCATTCGTGCAGGATGCGGGTAAATCATCTTTCAAATTAAGAAACTCTACATCCATGTCCTTAGCCAACAAGGACGATGTTGCAAGTAAATGAAAATAAAGACGACGAATACATGCGGATCTAGGATCAACGTGGGTGTTGGGCGAGATACCAATGCGATGCGCAGAGTTGCGCAGTTTGCTGATCACTGATCGCCCAAAACCTTGCGAGGATCTTCACTTGTCAAGGCGCCAGATAGCAAACTTCGTATCCAGCATCATGCTTACTGTCCGCAGACTTTCTCGCTTCTTGGTTCCCATGTCCATGTCTACCATAGCGTATCTCCGCACGAGTTTCAACCGGTCAGACCCTTCTTTTCCAGACATGCACAATCAGTCTCGCATACACGCCATAGCCCTCGCATGGAAACTGGTCCAGTCCAGTCCATGAAGACGTGGCACAACACCACCATCTCCACTCCACCACCCCCATGGAATATCAGACTACCGCTCTTAGCCCTACGAAAGCAAAACCTTCTACCGACATCGTAGGGCTGGACCAGCGCCACATTTCCCCCCAGCTGAAGAAACAATCGTGACAAGGCCATAACCATTCTATCCGCCCGAAGCTACACGTTAGTCTTCCCGCACCGCGCTAGTCGCCACGCTACATCTCTCCGACACCAGCGATTGCTGTGGCGCATCTAGATCCACTTGCTAGTAAATCGTGGAGAGCTGAAAAAAGTAAAATGCAGAATGCAGAATGGGCGGCAGGCGGCTAACGTGAATGTTTTGCGCATGTCCAGTGTTTTCGGGTCAGTCATGCTTAGTCGGTGACAGCGATGGGCGCTGGTGGTGTTCGCTTATCTGGCTGATGGAGGCATACATATCTGATTGATAGGCTGGCAGCATTAATGGGCTTCTACGTGGGCTTTGTTTGCTGACGCTGGGCTGAGACATGGGTGCGTTGAAGTGCGGAAACGGACATCGGGCTACGCCGTAAGACTGAGGTTTGAACCGAGTGCGTGAAGTCGTCGCCGGCTTGGATTTCGTTCGACAAGCACGGGCGGTCTGGTAGTCTCTGGTCTAGCCACGCGGCAGGTGAACGTCCGGCCCTTCTCTCTGTTAGTGACCGCCCGGCAAGTTTGTCGATCTGAGATGGGGGCTTGCGTACCCGAGACAATTCTAAAATGGCAAAGATCTGTGAGGATCTGGATTGAATGAAGATCTCAATGGCGTAGTCGAGCGTGCATCCAGGCTCGTGGGTCTATGATTGCGCTCACGGCACGGGAGACGGCACCATTGCGGTGAGTGAAGCGCAGGTGCTTCCTCGGCGAAGTGCAGATCAGCAGCATGTGTAGGAAATTGAGAAGACGTTTCGATGTACTGAGGCAGTGATGTGTCATTAATGATTCTATGTAGCCCAAATGCTCACTGGAGCTTTGCGACAAAGGAAATGCAAAAGGGTATATTCGTATGAACAGCATGTGATGTGTTGCAACCCAAACGCCTGGTAATGCAATTTTGTCGCACTCGGCGACTCGACCATGCCCATGTGTAGCGCCGTATGCAGAATCTGACAGATGCCGTGATGGTGGCGTACAGCAGGTGAGTCTGTGTTGCCGCCTCATTCTAGAGAGTGATTCCATGTGCCTTGTGAAACGCCGTTGAAAATCGATGTGGTGAATGCTAGGTCTTCGTTTGCTGATTAGGGAATGACTGCTAGATAATGCTGTCGATGTAGCGGATGCTCGTAGATGATCATTTGCGGAAGACGCTCATGAAGCTCTTGCGTTTGGTCATTCCTGAAGTCATAGGCCTGTCGGCAGGAATAGGAGGCGGCGCTGGGTGCGCGGCAGACGCGGACCTCTTGCCGAACTTTGAGAGTATGGGTTCAGACTTCTTGTTGACGATTCTGCTGTCGTCGATCTTCTCGTTGACAGCTACTCCGGAATCGCGGGATGCGTCGTGAGAGACCTCAGTGGTGACGACTGGTCTTGCGCCATGGTCAGCCTTGGATAGACCACGAGACAGCTGCATGGTACTCTTTGCTTTGAAGACACCAGATCTGCGCGAGCTCTTGGTCATGGCACGCTTGATGTTGCTACCAGTCTCCTCGGCTTGCTGTCGCTCCAAGCGCTCAATTTCGCCGAGGATAGTCATGCCGTTCATGGCAAGGCTCTCTTCGGGGATGGGTACGAATTTGACTACGCCACGCTCCGGCGCAACGCCGATTGACTCAGCCATGAACGTCTGAATCAGGGCGGCATTGCGTTTGTTGGTCGTGGGTTGCAGTTGCACAGGCAGAGCGTTAATGGTGAGCATGTAGGTGGGTTCAAATGAACCCCCGAGGAGCAGACACGCTGAGTGGTTGACCGTTATCATGATGGAGGCTTCTGGCCTCTGATAGCGCGTCGAGAGGTGGTGCGAGAGGTCGGTGACCAGGGTGTATTCGTCTTTGATCTACGCCAGGTTAGTGATTTGCCAAAAGAGTGGAGCTCGGCAGAATAACAACTTACGATAACGTTTGTCCGCAGCTCGGCTACAATGGGGGCATCCTTGGTCACACGGTCGCGAGCCGACGAGGCCATGCCGTCCTTGTAGGAGAATTGATCCTCGTAGAACTGTGCACGCGAGCGCGAAGTCATGGGCCGCAGGGGACCTACTTCATCCGCGGCGGCACTCGGAGCGCGGTTCCGGGAGTCGTGCTCGATGTCCTGGACCGACTGGGGCGACGATGCAAAAGAGAACTGTGAGTGCGCGGGTGAGAGCTGTCCATTGGCTTTCTCCGGCGAGAGGAGGGTGGTGCCTGCCTGTTGGGGAAATGCATTGTTGCCGGAGTAGGTCGAGGTGGACGATGGACGTGACATCTTGGCTTGGGTCGAGGTAGAGTTGTTAACTGAATGGGGCATACCGGGGGAGAGAAAACGATGGGGAATTGAGGATATAAGAGTAACGACCAGGGTTATCTGTCTGGTATGGGATTTGCCTAGATATGGATAAAGGCGTTGGTGCACATGCAAGAGCGCAGATCCCGGCGCGCTTCTCTATCTTGCAGTGTGAGACGAGGTCCGGAATGAGACGCGGTGGCGTTTGGTTATCAGCGGCCTGGAGGAAACGGAAACTGGGAGAGAGTCCGTGGGGAGTCCGTGTATCGATTGACGGTGTGGTGGAAGATGGTGCGGCAGGATGCAAGTGATGGGCGGTAGCAGTCCAGGGTTGAGGAATGGATGACGACTGAGCAAACACCCCGCAGTTGCAAAAGGAAGGCGCTGGTCGGAGAGATGCAGGAGATGGGCCCTGGGCAGAGCACGGCGAACCACTGTATGATATATTCCCATAGTCGCCGCATGCCAGTGCACTTGAGCACCAAGCAGCACCAAGCCTCAAGCATCTCGGGTAGAGCGACAGGGGTGCGGCCTCAAGTTGCAGCATCACCTGCACACGGGCCAGCCGCCCGCCATGCAGTTTTGGGCGCCTGCACACGATCGGACTGGGTATCTGACATGAGGCCTGGCTGAAGACGGCTGTGCGCTGCATCCTTATCTGGCGATGCGTCAAGTGTCGGCGACTCCAGCGAGCCCTCAGCTCTCAGGAAAGCCATGTTTGCTGCTCCAGGCGCGCCACCACCCGCACCTGCCAGCTGTGCCGACCGCGCTTTCCTCACCCTCGCTGCGACTGCCAGTTGAAAATAGCATCGCCCACAAGGGAAAGGGCAACCCCGTCCCCCCTGGTCCAGGACGTTGGCCTCAATCTCAGCGACAACGCAACACCACTCTGGTCCACTCAATCGAGGTTTGACGCTGGCTCCTAGCCCGCGCACTAACCCCGTCGCCGGCCACTCCTCCTACCCCGCCAAACGCAGCCTAGCCTGGAGCCGCTCTTCTTGGAGCTCGCTCCGGAGTCTCGACCTCTGTTCGACGGCCGCGCCTCTCGTGCCATGTCTCTGGTCTGCCTGCACTCTTTCGTCAGGAGGTACGCGGGCGGGAAGAAGCAGCATCCGCTACTCTACCTGGAGCCGCCTTGCTCGCACAGCATCGGCGGTCACTGGCACATGTCGTGGCCACATTCCATCTCCGCAGTTCGGCGCGCTGCCGAGCAAAACCACACCAGACACCAACGCCGACATGGTCACTGATGTGCATATGCCTTCCAGATGCAGAAAGGCACGACACTGCACGCGTCACAACCCAATCACTGAGACAGCCACCGGCATTCATCCTTCAATCACTTCCACGCATCATGGGTACCCAAATAATTTGTGTGCAAAGGA